GAATCCTTAAGGCGGGGCAGCTCCCCTGGCCCAAAGGGGGCTTGTTTTCCCAGGGTTGGCTTGGAGCCGTCCTGAAGGGGTCCGGTGAGGGATGGAAGGGGCCCCCTTGGCTGGCGGCCCCTAGTGGGGTGAGAGAGGCAGCTGGGCAGGGGATGCTTTTGTAGTCTCCCTAGTCACCCCACGGGGCCCGAGATAGGGCCATGTTTTCTTGGCAGTAGCAACATTGTTATTAAATGTGTGTGTGCCAAATATTTTCAGTCTCACAGCAGCTGACATGAAGGTCGGACGCAATATAATTAGAAGAAACCTGAACTTTTGACACAGCCCAACCAACCAACCAACCAAGCCCAAAACAGCAGCAAACCTCTGCTGTAAACACACCAACATCCCCTGTATATATGATCCCTCCCTGGAGCCCCCACCCTGCCCCTCCTGTAGGCTCTGACCAAAGAGACCCACCCCTGGGGGGCCCCTTGCCCCCCATTAGAGAAAGGCCACCCCCCAACAGCGGCTTCTCCTGGGGCCCTGGGTGCTGCTGGAGGGTCTCGGTGGGGAAAAGTTTGCCCCACCCTCTGGGGAGCGGCCACACCAGGGGTGGGATTCTGCCAGTTCGCACCTATTCGCTAGAACCGGTTGTTAACATTCTAAGCAGTTCGGAGAACAGGTTGTTAGAAGAAATTCCTGGCCTAATCCTGTAAGGAAGGCAGGAAGGAAACATTCTGGTGTTGCTTACTGAAACTGCCTCTCCGTTGACCCTTATTACATTCTTGGCAGGACTAGACTTCCTGTCTCTGGAGCTTCTCTGGAGTTATTTTTCCCTCCTTTGCTGGTACTTTGCTTGTGTGGAGTGACCATTCAAAGTTACAATGGCACTGAAAAAAGTGACTTATGACCATTTTTCACACTTATGACTGTTGCAGCATCCCCACAGTCATGAGAGGCCAGGCGAGGAGATGCGTGCCTCGATGAGAGTGATATTGAGTTGGCCACATCCAGCCAGTCACATGACCACCAAGCCATATCCACCCAGTCACATGACCACCACCTAAGCCACGCCCACAGAACCGGTTGTTAAAAATTTGAATCCCAACCCTGGGCCTCACCCTGATCTGAACTGCCCCATCAGGCAGCGTGGCGGAGGCAAAGCTGCTGGCCCTCTGGTGGCCAAGGGGGTCCTGGGCAGGAGGGGCTGCGCCTGGAGAAACCACCTGGAAAGGATGCAGGGGGAGGAGGTCAGAGGCCCCACAGCTGCTCACCTGGATGCAGCAGCTCAGCCACGGGGAGAGATTTAAAAGGGAAACTGCAGTTGTCCGTCCCCCCATCGGGAGAGGCTGTGTTCCCCCTGCCCTGCCCCCACTTTAGTCCTCTTTACCAGATAAACCAACCGGTCTATTTTGTGCTTTGGTGGGAAAGGCAGCAACTGACTCAAGCTTTGTTTAGAGACCCACCAGATGCTTTCCTGCCCCCCTCCCCCCATTTCCTCTGTCCAGACAGAGCGGCCAAGGGTCTGGCTAGCCGCTTGCGGCCTTTTGCGTGGCTTCTCCCAGATGACCGCGAAGTAGACTTCGCCCCAACGAACTGCCCTGGGCCCTCCTGAGGTCATTAGGGGCTGCCCAGCGCCGCCTTCGCCTTTGGGGGCAGGGCAACCTGGCCAGGTGCTTTCGAGCGCCGCTTCGGGCTTCCTCGCCGCTTTTGAGAGGAGTCGGCTGCGCGGGGCTACGTGGCCCGCGAGCAAAGCAGCTGCTACCTCCTGTCCCCAGGGCCGGGGAGGGGAGCGGGACAGCAGGTGGCCGAGCCCGCACGCGGCTAATTTGGACGCTGCTATTTAAATCGCAGGCAGGCAGAAGTGGGGAATCGGCTCGGCGTGCTAAATGCTGCTGAGGCGGTCGGGGAACGGGGAGTGGGCTCGCAGTCGGCTAGAGAAGCCCCCTCCCCGCGCTCTTCCAGACCGGGCGAGAAATGCTGGAGCTAAATCACCCGCCCGCCCGCCCGCCTATATCCGGGCTGGCATGCAGATGGGAGATGGAGCCTCGAGTCCAAGGGGTCTGGACCCCCCTTCGCCCTCCCCCTCCCCCAGAACTGTGCAGCGCACCCTCGCGGCAGGGGGAGGAAACCCCAGGAAGGCCCCGCGAAGTTGCAGGAGCGGGGCTGTGGGTCGCAGCTGCCTGCCTGCCTGCCTGCGTTCGCCGGAGCCAGGGATGAGGCTTGGTCCCCGCAGGCCAGGAAGGGCGGCGCTGGCCCCCAGCCCGGACGCCTCGCTAGCCCAAGTGGCGGCTCAGTCCTCCCTTCGGCTGCAGAGATCGGACGGTGGGCGGACGGCCCTGCTTTTGGAGACCGCCCCCCCCCCCGTTGCTCTCCAGGCCGGGCCCGCGCCAAGTTGCAGCTCAAGGGCCGCCGGCGCCGCCGCCGGGCTGCTCCGGGCCCCGAAGACCAGGCGGCGTTGCAGAACTTAATCTGCCTGGATGACACCCCCCCCCCAAAAAAAAAAAACACAACAAAAAAAAACGGCCTGAAATTACCCCAGGCTAAAATTAGCCTGGCCTCTCTCCCTTCGACGGCGGCCCCCGGATCCCCCTGCAGGGGCCGGGGATGGGGAGGAGTAGCCGGCTCCAGTGGCGGCCCGGAGACGACCTCCGCCTCACGAAGCCAGCCTTGCATAGAAGGTGTCGGGTCGTGGAAATCAAGCAGGAATCTTCCCGATCCCGTGCGCTCTTTATATAGGATCGCTCCGAAAACGCCATCAAATATTACTATTTCAGCGCAACAGAGAATCTCGGTCTGAACGCCCCAGGCCGGCTTATTTTACACGGGACGTCCACCAGCCGACGCAGCCGCTGGGGGTCTCGTTCCTCTGACCCGCATTTACATGAGGTCCACCCAAAATTCTCCCAGTGAGTTGCCTCACGAATCGTCCCAAACTGGCTGTTGTGTGGAATCTATTTCAGTGCCGCTGGAGGGAACCTTGGAGGTCTTTTATCCAGCAGAAAACCTGTTATCATTCTGGACACTCCGTGTTGTCCCGTCTCTTCTGCAAAGCCTCCCGCGATGGAGCCCCCACAGCTCCTGAAGGCAGTCTGTCCCAATGGGTAATGCCCAACCTGGAAGACCTGGCAGGCCCTCCCTGGGACTCACAGACCCCAAAGCCTGCACCTCAGCCATGGGTCCAAGAGCGGTCATGGGGTGAACCTCCCCACCACCTTCCTGACCTCACAGGGGTTCCCGATGAAGCCACAGAAGAGAGGCTGGGGTGTGTGTGTGTGTGTGTCTCCCTGGGATATTTCCTACCCATTGAGGGGTGGGCTACACCAAGCAGTGCTCTCGGATTCATGTGGGTGCGATACACAACTGCTTGTACTCCCCAGAGAAGCCAGCCTGGGTTTTCTGAAAATAGCCATGTTTCCATTTTGGACACATGAAACTGGCGGGACAAAACACTTCTGAGTGTTGAAAAGATTCGCCTTAGAAACCCACACTTTGTGAAGGTAATTTGGCTGGTTCGCAATCCCCCTGGCTGCCCATGGCCCTCGCAAAGCCCCTGGCTTGGGTTCCCTGTAAAGCCCCCCCCCCCCCCGGGGGGGAGGAGGAGGGAGCCACGTTCTCCATGCCCAACCTTCTTTTGGTTTCGCACATCAGCACACAAAAACTCTGGTGTGTGTGTGTCACCTGGTGGGACCCTTCTCTGCAGGCCCTTCAGAGCGCCAGCTACACTAACCAGCGGCCTCCTGGCACCCCAACTGCAGTGGGGGGGGGGGAAGCTCTGTAAACCCCGAGAGAGACCTGAATGGGTCCCCCGGGGGACACTTTCTTTATGTTGTCATTCTCTGGGGTTGGACTGTTTTCCTTGTTTTAGCCACCCAGATCTGCGTTTGCAAGACGGCTGGCCGGCCATGTAAGCCCACTGGATCCCTTGCCAGATGTTAACCCCCCCCCCCCCCAAGTAAGAACGCCATGTAGGACAAGACGTAGCTCAGACAAGATCCACGAGCGCCTCTGCCCCAAATCCAGCTCTCTGCCCCCCTTGGAGTCCAGTGGCCGGTCTGTCTGAGGCTTTGGCCTCCTGTCCCGGACACAGGAAATAGCAGGTGGGGACCCACTGGGTCTGGTGGAAAATCGGGCGGATCCATTCATGATGGAGGCGGATGTGCGGCTGCGGGGGCTGGCTGATGAATCCAAACCCCTTGCGGGATCCGAGGAGGGTCCAGGGGAAGAGCAGGCAGAGCCAGGCTTGCCCACATCCGTGGCTGCCCAGGGCACTCCAGGCTGGCAGCTGCTTTCCATTCTTTCCTCCCCCCCCCCAAACAGTGCCTGAAACAAGGACGGAAACGCCTGCTGGGACCCCGTTTTTTCCTACTTCTGGGAATGTGACCAATTTTGGGACAAAGAGGAAGGGGCAGCCCAGCCGAGCCCCCCTCCCCCAGCACGTGAGGCTCCCGACAGCTCCCCTCTACTGGCCCTGCCTCCTTCCGGCCACAGGCCTGCTCCCAGGCGAGGCAGGTCTCTTGGGAGGCCCAAAGGGCAGGAGCAGAGCCTAGCGGTCAGCCAGGCTTTGGAGCTCAACTGCAGGCTGTTTGCAACAGGAAGAGGCTGAACCTGCCCCAGGCA